TGTGTACACGCTGGTTGTCTTTAAAGAAATGCTTATTTAGAATCCTCGATCAATGGAACCCCCTTCTTGCATTTTTTAAAGAAGAAGTAAATGCTTGGAGAGTTAAGATAAAAGGCTCTATTGAAAGTTTTAAAGTACCTAAAGTAAATGAAGATGTAGTTACTACTTCCATTGTTAAAAATGGGTTTGAGAAAAATAAAGTAATTTCTGCATCATTCAGCAATTCAACTGGCAGTTCTCAATATAATACTGCAAAATATAAGTGTAAAGCTGATACAAATTTCTCTCAAAATAAAAAAAAAAAAAAAAAAAAAAATTGCTCAACACACGAAACATTTTCCGATTACTGTAAGTTTATCTTGTGAAGAACGAATATTTATGTTTTTTTCTTCGGACCTTAACAAAAGCTTTTTGCTTTTTTTTTTTACAATTCATTTTGCCATCATTCGATGTTCTGAACACAATTCTACAAAGCAGAAATTCCATTTAATTCATGTTTTGCAATCAATGATTTGTGATCTGTTTAAAGACATTTTATCAAAGTTTGTAAAACCAGTCTGGTGTTTTGTCTTGTAATTCTTATATATGATGTGATTTATGGTGAAATAGAAAATCAGAAGAAAGATGAAGATTTGGTAATAGGAGCTGCAACTACAAAAGTAGTGGAAGAACTTTCAGAAGAAAACAAAAGTAAGTTTTATCTTCATGTTAGAAGTTACTTCTGTCGAGTATGTGATTACACACTACATAAATTTCCAGTCAACGATGAAGTGATTTTGCATGCTAAAGTTGCTGATATTTCTGCTCTAGCAAATGCGTCTTTTTCTTATATAAGGTACTTTTTGAACAGATTCGTTTAGTCATGAAAGATGATGATATTGATGTTGCTACTGATATACTTCAGTCGCAGTTTTGCAGTTTACAATTAGAAAACGTGGATGAAGTTATAAAATCAGCTAGGATTGACACCCAGTGGAGGTTAATTGGAAAATTGAAAGGTGCTGATGGAATTTTAAAATATAGTGAACTCTCTAGAATTATGTTGGCCATCTTGACAGTTCCCCATAGTAATGTCGAGTGTGAGAGGATTTTCAGTGTTGTTGCGAAAACGAGAACTAAATTTAGATCTAATATTAGTGATGACACATTAGAAAAACTTTTATTAGCGAAAGCAGGCCTACGTGGCAATTGCTATGAACAAAATTATGAAGTTTCTTTCTTAACGAGAGCAAAATCTGCCACTGTCCATAACATTTGTATGAAAACTGATTAAAGTGCCTTTTTTTTTAAACGATGAAAGTAATAAAAATGTTTTTTATGTCTAAGGTATTTTTGTTTTGCTTGCATTTAAGACTTAGTAACTATTTAAAGTTAATTCATTATTAAAAACTATATTTTTATCATTTAAAAAGTCTTTTTAACATTGTGAAAAATCTCCTGATTTTTGAGTGTCATAGGTTGGCAAGTATGCTGTTGTATAAGCTAAAGGATAAATCTCTAGAAAAGGCATAAGATAAATATCTGTTGGTCCGGTATTATAAATTAGCCAGTTTAGATTACAAAATTAACCTTTCCTAATATGAAACCTGTGCTTTTCATATATAAACTGTGGAATTGATTTAAATGTTTAGGGACTTTACTGTAGTTGTGCACTTTATGATCGAAATACCTGAACATCCCCCTTAATTCTGGTTCCGGCCAGTGATGTTGAGCTTGTAATTCCCAGACAAGTTGAGTTAGAATATTTGCAAATTTTATTTTCACCGCGAGGATGTAAAAAGTCTGCTCGGGAAATTTCTGCTATATTAGGAGTGTTCTGTTCTAGTGTTCACTGCGCAAAAAAAGAGGGGGGAATGTTCTTTATCTCCCATTCTACTGGGCCGATTCAGAAAAGTCAAATTGAGTTTTTCATGTCTTGAAAAAGTGACTTAGGCTATATATAGATTGTATATTAGATTTATATATTATTGTTCTAACATAGGTATTGTGACATAAAATCAGACTTTTCTGAAATAACATATCAATTTTTTCCATATTCTGATTCTACGACTCAAATTATGCCTAGATATCAAATTTTGTACAATTTGGTGCAGCATTTACAGAGAAATTCAAAAATTTATCTTGCCACAATTTTATCAATCTGCGCCACAAATATAATTCACTTGGTGAACTTAATAATATGTGGCAACTAATTTTCCCTTCCATTATGCCGGAGCGTGGAAAAAAGTCTCATCGTTCCTTCTTTCAAATAATTTTAGCAAAGTATGTAAACCACATTTGATGTTTTATCTCTTTCAGCATACGTGCCAAATTTCAAAATGCGTCGGTATATAAATTCATGCACATCTCCAGAAATTTTGAACAAAAAAACTGCAATTTTTTTCAGGTATGCTTAGAAATACATCTACTTTAAGATGATGGTAAAAATTTTATAGCTTGTACTTCAGATTTTTTGAAAAGTTATTTAAAAATTCAAATTTTAAAAATAAATTGTTTAAAAAAAAGGTGAATTTTATTTGGAATGAACCTGAATTTCGAAATGTGAAAGGGAAAATGAAATAAGTTTAATAAAAAAAGAGATTAATAAATATATACCAAACTCTATTAACATTCAGGAGCTAAAATTTTGAGAGCTAATTTTTTAATACTTGTGTGATTTTTACAAAACTTGGTAGTTTGGCGTAATTTGAGTTGTAAAATGGAAATATGGAAAAAAATTGGCATGTTATTTCAGAAAGAGTCTGATTCTGTGTCAAAATACCTATATTATAAAAAAAATACCTATATTATAAATCTAATACGTGCTTTTGAGAGATGAAAAACGCAAGTTGAATTTCGTCAATCATCCCAGTAGAATGGGAGATAGAACTGTCCTCTCTCTTTTATGTGTGTGTGTGTGTGTACAGTATACATGTTATTGTGCAGATGCTATAACATTGTAGCTAAGATTTGGTAGACCTCTCCTTTTTTAATGTAGAACAGAGATTGCAAAGTTGCAAAAAACATTTGAATGGAATCAGCAGGAAAATTTCTTTGGGAATTCAAAAAAAAAAAAAAACCTAAATGCCATGTCATCATAATAGCAGTCTATGAACTTTGAGCACTTCGTTTTCATGGCAGAGCTGCCGCTTATAAACCATATATAACTACTACTAATGCAAAACATTGCTTTACAGTGGTGTAAACATCGCCATCCACTTTGAGCTTCAAATGATAGCATTGTATTGTGGAGCAATGAATTGAGGTCTGATATCTGAAAATTTAGTGGTAGAGTTTAGATATGAAGATTGTATAGTAAATGCTTTTTTTATTTCTGTGTTTCACTGCAAATGAAATTTGGAGGTGGAAGCATAAAGGGCTGTTTTCTTGGTTTGCCTTGGGTCCTTTTGTGCCTATGCAAGGAACTTTCTAGGTGGAAGCGTATCTGAACATTTTAGACAATTTGTGCTGTCTACATTGTAATAACAGTTCAGAGAGGGTACATTCAACACAATTGTGCTCCTTTCCATACTGCGTATCTCATTCAGAGGTGGTTTGCAGACATGGGGAGGAATTCAGGAATTGGACTAGCTTGTTCAGAGCACAGTCTTGTATCTGTATCATCTGTATTTTTTGTTGAACATAGCAGTTCTTAACAGTAGTCAGATTTAAATAATTTGATTTTACTGTCTAAATGAAAATCTGTTTAAAAGCGGTCTTGCCAAGCTGAAAATATTTTAGGAAGCGAATCTGTTAAACCAGCTGAAACCTAGTACAGTCAAAAGTCGTTAATTCGGACACCCATAATCCGGAATGATCTATAATCCGGACCTCAAAAGCTACAAACTTTCTGCGCATGCGTCACGTTCACGCATGCGCACAGGCGTTTACGAGAGCGCGTAAGACTCTTACGGCTGCGAATATGTTTGTGCGCATGCGCGTTTAATGTGTAATGGAGTTATACGCTAAGCTAAAGTTATCTACTTCAGTTAATGTTGCAGATTGCGTTGTTCCTTAATCTTCGAATTGGATCCGGCTTATTATTTTTTGCAGACTGTTAAAGCAATTTTATAAAAGTAAGCTTGAACTTTCGATTATGTCAAATAGAATTTCCGATATATATTTACTACAAAGCGAAAGTACGTTTTGAAATCCGAGATCTGTTTATCAGTTTCACGCTGCTCTGCGGGAGGGGGAGGGGCAGAAACGTCATTATTAGATTATGATAGATTAGAAAGATTATGTCAAATAGAATTTCGGATATATATTTACTAATATGTAATTTGTATCTACAAAGCGAAAGTATGTTTTGAAATCCGAAATCTGTTTATCAATTTCACGCTGCGATTGGAAGTTGATCTGTCAGCACTATCCTTATCTTCAGGGCAGTTGTTATTTTATTTGGTTTATAATTCCGTACTAAGTGTAGTATTTCATCTCGATGTACTCAGTCTTTGATATGATTTAAATTAAGTTCCTGGTCGCTTCCGATAGTGAAGAAAGTGACCCAGAGGTTATTGAAAACGAAAACATTTCGATTGACAAATTAGTCGGTATTCTCAACACAGCAATTATAGGACTTGAACAGCGGAACTTTGTAACTAAACAAGAAATTATGTCTGTTTAATAGAATTAAAGAGAAAGTATTATCACATGAAACGAAGCAACTCCTCGGGACTTCGGCTCCTCGGGACATTACATTGAAGGAAATGTTTAATAAAGTAAACAAATAAATATTAAGCTTTTTCTTTTTGTAAATTTTGATACCCTTTAGATCATAATTGTTCTTTATTTCATAAATTACGGTTTCATATTTTTAATTTTGTAATTTCTGCATGCCATCTTACCAGATTTAAACTGATGATCGATAATCCGGAATCGCCGAAGTCCCGATGAGTCCGGATTAACGACTTTTGACTGTAATGGTTTTCTATAATTCTGGACAAGAAATGCTGATGTATTAGTTCTTTGATATTCAAGGTTTCATCCTGTATTTCATATGGCAAATTCTTTTTAAACAGATCTTTTCACAAGAGGAATTGACATCCAGGCAGTAAATGTTGTGATTAATTTTGATTTTCCAAAGATGGCAGAAACATATTTGCATCGCATTGGTCGATCTGGAAGATTTGGCCACCTGGGCATAGCCATAAACTTAATTACATATGATGACAGATTCAACCTTCATCGCATAGAGCAAGAATTAGGAACAGAAATCAAGCCAATTCCAAAGGTAAGTTTTCAAATTTTATTGGCAGTGTAAGCTTCTAAAGAGGTATATAGATGGTTATCCTTAATTTTTCTTTATATTGATCATTTTTTACATGTGTAAAATGTAATAGTTTATTCATAGAATTAGTTTTACTAAGCATATGCTAAAATATTTCAAAATGAACAAGTGGTTAACTTACTAAACCAAAACATTAGTTTTTTTTTTAACTAGAGAAATTTAAGTTTTTATTAATGTTTATTATAATGCTTATTTATAGAATCAGTTTCACTAAGCATATGGTAAAATACACTGTCACAAAAAATATATATATGCACCCATAAGAAATCTAGTCACAATCACAAAACTTTGCAGGAATATAGTTTAAGAGATGCAAATGATTTAAATTAGGATGAGACAAGGGTAAACTCACTATGCTCAGCTTGGGTAATACTTAAGCATTGATTGCTCGGGCCATAGGGCTATTTAACCGAATCTGTCGACGTGGATGGACTTGTGACTAGAGATATCTGAGACATAACTGGCAGCAGGTACGGATAGTTGTCATACTTCAAGAAGGGCAGTATAGAAGGTCTCAAAGATGCAGATCGGTCAAACAGGTATATTGGATGCTGCCTTGGTCGAAGCAATATAAGCAGTTGCTGGGTGTTTATGACAGTGCATCACGGAAGGGAAAGCATACCGTCGCAGAGAATCAGGATGTCCCAGAAACACAAGTGAGCAACCACTTCTACATCATCACTGTTGCTAGTTGATTCAGTGTCATTTACTGCCCTTCAGGCATCTGGTAGTGTTAAGGGAAACCGTTTGGAGACAACTAGCCGATGCTTACCACTGACCCCCCACATCGTAGGCAGTGTCAATTGATTTTTGTTGAACCTGGGCAAGATGGAGTGTGATTTTCAGCAGTGAATCCCAATTTAGTCTCTGTGTTGATGACCGATGCACATGGAGGCAGCCAGGCTTGTCATCTAGGCGTACGTCGATTACACAAGCTGTGACAGTATGGGGAGCGATTTGTTGGGACACATGATCACCTCTAGTCATCCTTCAAGGCATTATATAAGGATTCTCAGTTATGTGGATGGCAGTTTAATGCTGATTGTATAGCATGTGCTATCATGTCAGCCAGGTGTCATTTATCTGCAAGATGCTGGTCGTCCACAGTTATGTACTCCTGTGGTCTGCCAGGTCACCAGACATCTCTCCAATAAAACACATTTTGGACATGCCTGGAAGGCAACTGCGGCCGTCCTGGAATATTGGTGAATTAACTGCACAGTTGCAAAAATTATAGCATGATCTGCAGGAAGTCGTAAGTGACCTGCTTGATTTGATGTAACACCTTATTTCGGCTTGTATATTTACCAGAGGTGGCTTGAATTTGTAATCATTTGTTGATACCCTCATACATTACATACAAGTTAAGGTTCGTGATAGTGGTTTCCTTCTGGGGCATATATTTTTTGTGACAGTATATTTCAGAATTAACAAATGGTTAACTTTAATTAAAACCTAATTCATGTTCATCATAATGCTTTTTTCAGCAAGGACTCAATTTGTCTTTTTAAGCATGACTTGTATTGATCATGTTTGCATATTTATTTTTGAAATTAGAATTTGAAGAAAATGCTATTGTGTTATGCCACTTGCATTTAACAATCAGTAGCTATAGTTACATTATGTACTTAATTTTGGAGCATTTTCCAAATTATAGTTTTGATAATAAGTAAGAATTGACTAAGTAGGCAGTGCTGCCAATGATGTATCTTGATTACATGATTGCTTTTACTTGCGTATGACATTAGAAGAAAACATTTAATGATCAGTATTTATCTACTGACTTAAATTATTTCAGGTTGTATATTTATGCGTGTTGGTCATATATTTTTGTAAAGTTTCTTTATGCAAGGTAATCTATGCTAAGTTTTGTATTTCTTTTATCAACTTAAGTTGCAATGTATGCTTTTCCATTGTCTCTGTTTTTCTAAGGAAGTGCATTTGGATTAGGAGTACAAAAAAACCTTTTTCAGGTTGCTATCTACTTAACTAAAACATTTTGTTTCAAAAATAATTTATTCTTAGGATTTCATTCAATTTTATTATAGCTAATGTTTGTAATAAACAAAGACATTGGAAATTGTAAGAAAAGGCTTTTTTTTTTTTTTTTTTTTTTTTTTTTTTTAAGAATTTCTGTGTGTAACTATTTAAGTAATCGCATTAAGTGTTTATTTAACAAAGCTTCGTATTCAAAGTGTTTACTTATTTTAAAACAACTAAAAAAGTTATAGCTGTTGGAAAATCCAGCTGTGAGTGTTTAACATACCATATTTTTAACATGTGACTAATGTCATTAAAAATTTTTTAATCTTAATTTGTTATAATTCAGTTGTAAAACATATTGGTTGTGCTGAATACTAACTAGTAAATTATTTCCCAGGTCATCGATAAAAGCCTGTATGTTCCAGAATTTCAGTTTGAAGAGACTGAAGCAAATAGCCAATAAATGCTCATAAGGAAAAAAAATCAGTTAGGTATGTTTTTAAAATTACATCAATGTTTTCAAGCACTAATTTATGTTTAAAAGAATTAAGTGTTTGTGTACATGAGATGATATATATACAGAGCATGAATTTTGAAACCAGCCTAGAAGTGCTCCAATATCTAAATCTCCAGACCACTAGTCAATAAAGTACCTCCCTTTAAAGTACCAAAATATATCAATTAATACAATAACAGAAGGAACCTGGTGTGCTGTAAATGTGATTTTTCTCCAGATTGAGATTCTTACATGTATTTTCAATCACCCTCCGGCTAGGGAGTTGCATCTTAGATGTTAATAATTTATTGATGTTGTAATAATGTTGCCAGTGATCACACTGATTGTTGAGTAGGAGGGCCAGTGTAGTCTTTATGGTTCTTAAATTCTCCCATCCCAAATTTTTGCTGTTTGGTGCTGTTTTAAATCTAAAGTTATTACACCTAAATACTGATCCCCTGTGCAGGTACACTGGTTGCTAGAGCTGACCTTATTGGGATCTAAAGAATAAGTGTACATTTCATCTTACTAAAATTTAAACTTATGATTCAGAATCTGGAAGTTTCCAGAACTGCTAAAATTCTAACGGTCCTGGAATTTTACTCTGCGGAATTTGTACTGTGTGTTTGTGTGTGTATTTACTTTTATAATCGAAATATCTCGAATAAAATTCATGAATTTAGCGAGCAAATGCTGTTTAAATACAGTTAATGAAGAAAGCCTTTCTCTCTCGAAAAATATTCAAAAAATTTTATGTAGAAACATATTTTAAAGTGCTGTGCATTAATAAATTTGACATTAGATGACAATTTTAAGACTCTTTTTTGATCTGCAAGTGCAGTTCCTATGTAAATTCAGTAAGGATGAACAAAGTGTTTCTGACATTTTGATAATTTGTACATGAAATTTCATTTTATGTTGGTGTTGTGATCATATTTCGGATGATTTTGGAAGACAGTTGAACTAAAAGGAAATTTGTAAATTGAAGCATTCTTGCTTTTTAGCAAGAAATGTTATAATTTTAAATTCATAGACGTCATCATATGAACTTTATGAATTATTTATCAAAAGTTTCAGCCTGCTCCAAGCATTAGGAATTTTAATATATATGCAAGCCATAATGTTTTGGTAATAGAAATAAGCATATTGCAAACAGGTATTGAAATGTTAGAACACAGGCATCCTCTGCCTATTTTGAGGTTGAGTGCTAATGATTACTAAAGTTTAAGCATAAATGTGCCTTCTTTTTATAACTTGCAAATACATTTTGATTGGTATAACATCTAAATAACATATACCATTTATGAATATAAAGTTTACTTTTTTTTTAATTACTAGCTGCTTCTGAAGCCAGCCATGTAAAGTAGTTAGAAAATATGTAATGATTTTAATAATTCTAGCTATTGTAATTTCATAAGTATTTAATATTCCTGATTAGATACTTCACAATTTAAATTCATTCGCAGAAAAGATGATTGAGAATCTATTGAATGGCTTATAATGCATTCCTGCCACAAATTTCTTTCAGTAAAAGATTTTAGGGATTGGAGGAGGGGTAATTTCAGTAGCTTTGAAAAACATTCAAATACAGTGCTCTAATTATGTAACTACTTTAAATTATGTAAATTCATTATTTTATGATATGTTCAAACATAACCATTGCATTTATTACTTTGTAAAACAGATTAGCCTCTAAACGTAGCTGCTTAATTAAGCTCATGAGTGTAAGGCCAGATTTTTTTAGCACTGTGTCGGGCGTGTCTCAAAACTTGAGACATAGGGTGCGCTGTATCTGTCAGATACATCTCTATTTTACGTGTTTTTTGGTGATCTGTATTACTTTAAATCTTCTATTTTTATTCTTTTTAGGTCCAGGCTTTTACACCCAGACCCTTTTTTAATTGTTATTTTTTTAATATTTTTATTTATTATTTATAATAACTATTACACACGTTAAAATGCCATTTAAAAACACACACAATGAAACATACAACAATACAGTTGAAAAAAATTTGAAAATATGGCAGTTATTCACAAATAATTAATATCACATAAAAATACATAATATAAAATGACAAAATAAATCAGTTATACTTTAATGTGATTCAAAATTTAAGTTTGGTTTTTATTTGAACATTTCTGACACATCATTACTGCATGTTCCAAACAAAAATATTCAGCACATTTTATGCAGGAGTATTGGGTAAATCTACTTTTCTTATTTGTTTGACATGTAAAGAACCTTTTGTGTTTATTTTGGTTACTGGGAACCTTTGCTTTTTTTCCTTCTTCAGCAGTTGGTCTGTAGGTTTGAAGTTTCATTTGCAAATCCTACGACAAATTATGTTTAGTCATGCGCCTAACAACTTCTTCATTGACTAATTCCTTCACCAGTATTTTCAAATACTCTCTCCTGTTCTAAACAGTATTCTGATAGGGTGAAATATTTAGCATCGAATAAAATGCTATCATTGGCCATCTCCCTGTATTGCGAGCGCAGTTATAAGTTCCACACATCTTATTCAGAGCATTAACACTGCATTTTGTATCATTATAAAATGTGATTATAACTGCCTTTTTTTTCATCTTCAGTGTCTGAATCTATAGCATCATCAAAGTGCATACTTGATACAAGCAAAACATTTTTGCCTTTTTTTCCGTACGTATGAAACTAAAGTGCAGTTTTTAGAAAAACCAAATAAGCTTGAATGTACTTCTTTTCCTTTAGATTCCACAAAACAGGGAGGTATTTCTTTTTTATTCTTTCTTATTGTTCCAATGTAAGAGTTTTTTTTATCTTTTAGGACTTTTACAACATCAATAGAGGTAAACCAATTATCTGCGGTGATATTGCGACCGCTGTTGAAACTTAGTTCCAATAATTGCAGAACAACATCTAGTGGGGAATTACTGACACTAAATAGACCTTCGGGACTGTTTTCCAGCATATATTTCTAAATTCAATGTATAAAACATTTTAGCATCAACTGCTGCAAAAATTTTAATGCCATATTTATTTGGTTTTGATGGAATGTACTGGCAAAAAAGGGCATCTTCCTCTAAAACCTTCTAATTTCTCATTTATCATAACATTTTGTCCCACGCAATAATTATGCTTACATTTTCCCAAAAATTTCTCTAATAGGTGCTAATTTAACTGTTTTCCTTCTTGCGTTCCTCGTCTCTTTATCATCAAATCAGGATCATCTTAAAAGAAATTTAAATCACTTCAGAATCATTACTGTTCTAAACATTTCGATACCCATTCCATCAGTAGACCACAGTTCTTCCGAAATTTGTTGATTACTTCGCAAAAACGCCAGCTAATAAAAGTAAACCTATAAATGCTTTTATTTTAATCATATCTGTTAGGCTTGCATCTATCTCTACTAAATAGACCAGAAATTGTAGAAATGTATTTGCTAGTGTATTTCACAATTATTTCCAGTATTTCATCAGAAAAAAAAATCCAAGAGTCGTATATAGTTTTTATACCTTTCACATTTCCAATCTCCAGGTAATTTTGTGGTAAAAGTCTACGATCTAACTTTGACATTTTTTCTTCCAGGCTATTTTGCCCATTTAGTGTTCTTTTCCTACATAAAAATCTTAAAGTTGTGAGTCATTATAATCACTTTCAATACTTTCAGAATCCACTTCATCACTTTCATCAAATTCTTCAGCATTTAATTCCTCATTTCCATCACTAAACAGAATATTATGAGCTGGTTCAAGATCTTTTTGATTATTCAAATCGAAAAAGCGTTTAGAACTAACTCATCATGGGAGAAATAAATCAAAAATCTATAAGAAATCTCAATACTTCCATAAAGCTTCAGGAGACGAACGTTATTGGGCGCGTGTATCTGACATTTACATATTTTCAAATAAGCTTAAAAACAGGAAATGCACCAACACTGAACTGGTCTTTAAGGCATTTCGAAGGAGGGGGTGGCCAAATACTGATAAGGTCAAGGTCGTGAGAAGTTTAAGGGGACAAAAACAGATTTTGACACCCCTGTATCTGTCATATCAACGTGCGCGATGGAGTGTTAATCTTGATATTTTTTCCTCTAACTTACATAGGCTATATGTTTAGAAAAACTGCAGGACCAAATGTTTATTTTCTTCTTGCCTTGGTATTTTTAACTGCACAATTTATTTAAATTAAATTTTTTATCAGTCGCGTGTGGTATTAGTTGTCTTATTTTATTGTCGAGACTTGAGTATAAAACTGATACAATTGTTGTATTTTATTTTCCCCCCTTTCGTATTGTGTAACATCAGTTCTTAACCTTTTCACCAATGTGTACCATCTAAACAAAAATTGAAAAACTATCACTACATTTTACAATTAATAATGATCATTTTACAATGATTGTTTTTCAATTTCTTAGTGCCGACCAGCGGCCGAGTGGTAAAGTCGCTGAACACTGGTAGTTCGGTCCGAGGTTTGAATTCCGAGAACGGGCTGGCTGCATGGGTGTTTTCGTGGTTTTCCCCATGTGTAACGTGTATACGAGCCAGTTTCCCTTAGAAAGGCCTCCACGGAGGCATCCCTTCCCTTAGGCAGATAGCCTAGTGTGCTTTGCCATAATTAAATACACCATACACCACACCACCAATTTTTCAATAGTTAAAAAATATATTTCGCAATTTGTGCTACCTATTGGATATTTGTATTAAATGTGCAGGCTTGCCGTGCTACTGGGAAAAGTCGGGGAATTAAACAATAGACCAAAAAAAGTTGTGCAATTTAAATAGTATAGTCAAAATCTGGAAAACTCTAGGAATTTTATACAGTGATCATTTTCTTGGTGAATCATTCATCGCAGGAGCGACATTCGGACTGCTGGTATACAGCCAATTTCTCAGCACCAGTCAACTCTTTTGGAAAGACAAAGCAAGCTTCCACTGACCTCGAGAATCGAATGTACAGTGCATGTTGAATGAAAGTCAATTACCACCATTCTCGTGGAAAACAATTGTTTAAAC